GTAAATGAACAATGGGATCAGACTAGCCGAGCAATACACTCCGCAGCGAGTGTTGCTTGTGGATCTGAAGCATTAGCCCGCCCGAGGCATTGGATATCTGATGAGTCAGTAGCACTGATGGAAGAAAATCGGCACATCCCAACCACCCGGGATTAAGGCAGGGTTAGGTGGCGTCTACAACGTCAACTCAAGAAAGACCAAGAGAACTGGTGGGCAACGATAGCTAGTGAAATGGAAGTAGCAGCTGCAGATTATGTGGTACGGCCAGTTTCCTGAACCTGTAAGCATAGCAAGACAGTTTTCGAACTTTTGTGGAAATGGTAATGACATAAGCAGACCAGGACAGGTTATGGGTAAGGGTGACACCAACGTATTTGAATAGAGAAGNTATCCATGGTCATTTCGCTGCATCTGTACACGTGCATACTGCAGTCACGTGTACAGATGCAGCGAAATGACCATGGATACATTGTGCAAACCCATGTTTCTGACTTCTCTATTCAAATTTGTGACGGGAAAACATTGCTTCCACCAACGTATTTAACATATACAGACTTAGGAATACTTTGTTAATTCTAAGATCAGGGAGATTATCAACTAATGAAAGATAACGGAGACCGGTTTTAAGACCAAATGGAACTTCAATGCACTTACTGATGTTAAGTACAAGGGATCGGGTCACAGACCAATCGTAAAGTTCATTAAGATTGTCTTTGAGAGGTCGAAAACTGTCTGAAACAGGGACTGGGCAACCAATCACAATATCATCAGCATACTTACAGGCAATAAAGTTGGTGGGAATGGGCAGATTTTGTATATACATAGAAAACAAGAAAGGGGACAAAGTGGCACTCCGAAAAACACCGGCTTCAATGTTAATAGAAGAAGATTGTACACCATTGAGTGAAGTAAACTAAATCCTATCTTGTATGCATCATGAGTTTGGCAGCGATCAGTGAAGTTCGCTTCACTGTATTGCGCTGTACAATGATTATGATGATGAGACTAATCACAACGATGAATCCTTACTTGAGTATTGAATCCTCTCCTCTCTCTCTCTCCAAATCCAGGGTTATTGTGCCGATGGGAAAAAGATTGGATGCACGCAGCCCCGTCGGGTCGCTGCCATGTCTGTAGCTGCTCGTGTGGCCCAGGAAATGTCTGTCAAACTGGGTGGAGAAGTTGGCTATTCCATCCGTTTTGAGGACTGCACCAGCGATCGCACTCTGATCAAGTACATGACGGACGGTATGTTGTTACGTGAATTTCTCACCGAACCGGATTTGGGTGCCTACTCGGTGATGATGATTGACGAAGCACATGAGCGCACCCTTCACACGGACGTCCTATTCGGACTAGTGAAGGTAACCGTTACGGTTGTGGTTCTACGTTTTTTCCAAGCTATTCTTGCCTGTGCACTTCTTGGTTTAATGCCATTCATTTTGTTGTGTTGTAGCTCTGATTGTTTACAAAGCGTACGAATGGCATACCGACAAGTAAAACTATATTATTATTAAAATTCTGAATCAGGTCTACTCGAGTTAGTCTTGTAATGCATGCGTTATGCTTGTAACTTCTCTTCAGCCCCTCCTGGACTATTTATTTTGTTTTTGTGTTGATGGTACTAAATGGTTCCGAAAAACGAATACTGGGGTTTAGTAGTTCTAATTGCGAATGTCCTTTTCTCATTCTTTGTGCGCATGTTTCACGACCGTGTCCGGTTATTGGAACCCGAAAACCTGGTGATCTTTTTTACCTTGTCGTTATAGGACGTGGCTCGCTTTCGACCCGATTTGAAGGTTTTGATTAGTTCGGCAACTTTGGATGCCGAGAAGTTTGCTGCCTTCTTTGACGACGCGCCGGTTTTCCGCATTCCCGGTCGACGATATCCAGTCGACATATACTACACCAAAGTGAGTTGCTCGTCTAGGTACTTTTCACGTGCGAAATATTTTCTCAAATTTACTTTGTTTTACAGTAATATTCATTAAACAGTTTTCTGTAGCATTTCTATCAAAAAAGAAGTAAACCACCTAATTACAGGGGCACTTTGTTCATTTACAAACTATATTCGTCCCCGATCAACACGGTAAGGTGTTTAAATCGGGTGATGGTGGAGATGGTAATATTGAAATACTCCTCATGAGCTCTGGTATCGAAAACACAACAATAGTTTGTCGTCTGTATGTGTGGCGGTGTTCTAGTAGCTGACGAAGGGTGAAGACTTGATCTATGCAGCCACGGCGGATTTACGGATTTACCTTCGCGAAATGGGGTTAGTCTACGTATGAAAACGTACACTAACAGTCTCAGCGCTATTGGAATCAAACATACCTCTGTGATTGTAACAATCGTTTCGACAGTTTTTGTAGATGGGTGTAACAATCGATTCTCCCCATGTGTGGGATGTACTTTCGGTTTCCCAGATATTTGAGAATAGTCTCACAAACTCTCTCACGAGAGCTTCTCCACCATCTTTAAAGAGAGCAGGTGGCAGGTCGTCTAATCCAGCTGCCTTGTGGCGTTTCAGGACTTCCTTCCGGACCTCCGCTCCTGTGGGTGATCCCTTGGATAATGATCAAGAGAACCACTTGAGGCAACCAGCGCGGAGGGAGGGCTGATTGAACTACGATGTGCAGCGTTCTAAGCGTCGGTGAAGACTGTGGATTAGCGTGCCGTCTTCTTCGCAAATTGTTTCATTAGCTCACTGTCGTTCGGAGCCCGGTGCATGGATGAGTTGGAACATTTCCGGATGTTTCCACACCCAGCTGCTGAATCCACCACGTTTGCACTCAACGTCCATCCGGCTTCTCGGTCGTCTCTCAAACTCTTTGTGANNTTAAAGCCCGACGGGTCAGGCCACAACTGTGTAAACTAGCATTGCGTTTTGAATGGTTGCTCAGTGTTGGTCTACACTCCTTGGTGAGGTAGTAGTTAGTCTTGCGACCAACTTGTTTTAGTAGTCGGCCAGCACATCCGGGTCGGAAACCTTGGCTGTGGCAAGCTGTTTGCCTCTTATCTTTTTACGGCCACCAAATCGCATAGGCAACTTGGCAGAAATCAATGTGCGGTCAGAGTCCAAGCCCGCAAACCAATACGAACGACAGTCTTTCGCATACCCTCTTCATCTATATCTAATTCCTATATAATTAATCTGAGTCTACATCTGTGCCGAAGAGTGGTTACACCAGGCGGCGAGGCGACGTTTTGGGTGTTCGGGCTGACAAGGAACAGACTGCGTTCTGATCGTATGCTAAGAAGTCTGTCTCCATTCTCTGGACGACAGCTATCAAATCCATGATGACCACCAAGATAGGTCTCATCGGGCGACAAACGGCCAACGCGTGCGTTTCGGTCTCCGGCCAGCATCACGATATCAGCCTTGGTGCTTTGAAAAGAAGCTCACGTAGGTTGTAACAGAAGGCCTCTTTGGCTGTATCCGAATTGCGGTCATTAGTATCGTACGCATAAGCCACGAATAAGCACCATTCGTTTGACTTCTGATTTTTGACTTTACTTGATCCTCTGAGTCGCACCGCGCATAGTCGGCCATCTATCGGGATCCAGTCAAATAGACCAACCTCGACCCTAGCGCTTAAGACAATACCAACGCCTGTTTGACAATGCATTGATGCGTTAGGCCCCCGGAAACTTGAAGTTGCAACGCTTCTTTTGGATTAGAAGAAGACGTTAATCGGATCACTAAACTCGGATCCTGAATGCCTGTTTCCGAGAGCCAACACACATCAATCTCTAGACTTTCGAACGTACGAGCCAAACCAGCTTGTTGTCCTATATGCATTAGAGTTCTTACGTTGAACAAAACCAGTCTGAACACAAAGGGAGGTCAGAGTAATGGAACGGTCGACTCTGACTGACAAGGCATTGCTAAAACAGATGTTAAGGAGGATAGCGGAGAGCTACAACATGAACCTACATCAGTGAACCATTCGAGTAGGACATACAGTGGGGAAAATGGGGGTGTTATGTGGGGAACGGATGGAAGTGTTGCAGATTTCGAGTTTTGTATGAGAGTTTCAAACGTGTTTGAATGCATAAGCCCGTTAGTCCATGGTTAAATTGTGGGCATGGTACTACCTGGTTGTCCATGCCGAAATAGAGGGTTTTCTTGGGGGACCCTTCCGGATCCTTTGGTTAAAGAACCTGACCCACAAGGCAGTGGGGTGAAGTTGGGAGTTCAGGATCCTCTCGCAACCAGTGCCTGGCTCACGAGTTCATACACCTTTCGAGTGTGGCCAACTATCCAGGGTACCCAGATTTCCCTTGAGCTGCGCTCCTGCAGGTGAACGTCACGATGGTCAACTCCAAAGGTTAACTATCCTTGGACTGCGATTTGGTTGCGCTGTAGATTAGTGCCACTAAGAGCTTCTTACGCCAAGTTTGGAATCAGGGTTTAGCCAACTCCCCTAGACTGACGACCAATGGTTGGTCAGCCCGGCAGAAAGCGCCGGGCATTCGCCTTTCCCCTCCCACTTTAATGTTAACACTGCCACGAGAAGGCAGTTGGTAGAACTTCCTCAGCAGAAGCTGTTTGAGGCGCTTGGTCGTTTAGGAGCATTTCTAGAGGAATTCGGGACGAATGGCCATTTCGGAGCCCGAGACCGTCACTCCCGACCATACTGAGGCAATTAGAGGCACGCTTCCAGTGTAACCTAAACGCTTCTGCTGCGGACATGCGACATTTTGATCGTAATTTGATAGGTCGTTTATCTGCCGCCTTCTTGGTTGCTGTTCATCGTCATCGTACAGCGAAATGCAGTGAAGTGAACTTCACTGATCGCCGCCAAACTCGCAATACATACATCGTTAGTGGTAAAATTTAAGGTAGACAAGAATTGGACCTATTTTGAGGGAGGGAGAAGAAACTGAACCAATATGGTCAACACAGAGTGCACAATCGAACTCTGCATACATGACGTTTCAAACATTCTGACCTGATAAGAAACGACAACAAGAACGCGACTGCTGTCGGTTCGCTGCCATATCATTCAATGTCTCCAACCAACCTGTTGTGGAGTCTTTCGGACCCCACCCTGGAAGGTGCGCGACACCTACTCTACCTAATGGCTCTGTGCATTTCTTCGTGCCTCGTCTCCACGCCACCTGTTGACCTCCACGCGGTTTCCTCCAGCCCAGATTAGCTACAGCGAATAAAGCGCGGTGAATCAGACGAAAACTGGGCATACGCAATATGTGCCCTAGCCAGCGAAGTCTACTACCTAAGTAGGAAAAGTGATCCACCATAACTAAATCCGGGCCATTTAGTTTCAGAGCGGGAGTAGACGAAACCCAGTCCTACCGCATCACTGCACTTCGAAGGTGCAAAGCACATACCGAATATGGCTACTGCACTTGTTAGTCTATCAGGTTCGCTTTGCGCGTCCTCCATACATTCGAGTAAGCAAACGATGTCGTCGGCGTACTCCAAATGGCACAGCTTTTCTCCAGCTGTCCATTCAATACCTACGTTTTGGAATCCCCTTAGTGTGTTCTCCAGTATTTCGTCTATGACAAAATTGAACAGAAACGGCGAAAGAGGGTACCCTTGACGAATGGCCTACTTAGTTCGCTGTAAACCTTTGCTGTTGATAGCGGCTAGACGATTTAAGGCTTCACTGCCTCGATATTTTTAGTACACTTATTGGCAAGAGCCCTGAAGTCACAGAGCTCCAATGTTTATTAATGGGGACCTGCAATCCAAGCCGTGGATCTTGGAATGGACAACTACATTAGAAAACGGGTATGGACAAACCGTCTGTCACTGAACTCTGGTGATGCTGGTGGGGTTTGAACTCCGGATTATGAAAGCGGGTACATCCAAGCGATTGAAATTTATTCTGTTTGGCTACTATCACCACAACCATTTATGTTCAAATCACCACCGTCCACTCGCTCGTTTCCATGAGTAGGTCCACCTCAGAGAGGTTTGCTTAGCTAGTCCTAATTCACTTCTTTCTGGTTGTTTTGCACTTAGACGTTGTCGTACTTCGTTCACCTACTTATGTTTTGTTTTGATCACTATATTCAGTCCTACTTGATTTTTTTAAATCTAAACTAGGCGCCTGAGGCTGACTACGTCGAAGCAGCCGTTGTCTCCGTGCTCCAGATCCACGTTACACAACCACCGGGTGATATTCTGGTCTTCCTTACTGGTCAAGAGGAAATTGAGACAGCCAATGAGTTGTTGATCGAACGAACCCGCCGGCTGGGTAGCAAGATTCGTGAATTATTGATTTTACCAATTTATTCAACTTTACCATCAGATATGCAGGCAAGTTTTGCTGATTTGTTTTATCAACCTTTGTGTGATCATGTGAATGGGGGCTGTGCTCGCTCGGTGGATACGATTTACTTATGCATTATGTTTCTCTCACAAACTGTTTTTGAACCGGATGTGTCAAGTACTGTCTCGGATAATTTATTTTTGCACGCGTTGTTGAGGTTTGGTGCGAAGCTTCAGACATCCATGGTCGACCTCAATAGATTGCATTGGCTAGGTCGTGTTACGCATGACACCAAACAAACTGCCACGGTATGCGATGTTTATCGATGCAGGTGGTAGGTGGAAAAAGTCAAGGGTGGCTAAACAGATATCTGGCTTGCAGGTATGAAAACCCTGACCGGGATACTTACTCATATAGACCGCATTAGGCTTCCCGAATGGGAATTTCGGGATCAGCCTGGTCACGTGGTTTAAGTCACCGACGTTCTTCAGGTCCTAGGGTTCGAGGTGCGAACCCGACCCCACCCCAAACTTGTTAATGGGCCGCTTCGCTGTCGTCCGGTCCAATACCACGCCAAACCTAGCGGGGCCTTATGTAGTTCACTCCTCCAAGTCCCGGGGTTTAGGTTACCGGTTCCCATGCGTCAACTGAAGGTCCTTGTGACTATGGGTTGACGCCATCTGTTGTTCTTCACAGCAAGGTATATAATCAAAAGAACGATGGTTAGAAACGCTAAATGATATGACTGAGTAGCGCTCGTGCACCCACACAATGTCCTCTCCATTTTCATATACATGAATTCTCTATTTTTTCTTTGTTATTGCTTTAAAAATTCTCATCTTCGCTCAATTCCTTCATCCAAATAGACAACTGAAAGGCAGCAACCAAAACCACCGCACAAAAGTGTGGCTTATGGTTGTTTAAACTGAAACGGAAACATTGTTAAAATGCTAAGTCATCTGCAACCCATTCGGCGGTAGTTTTCAAAACGCTGATTTTAGACCAAAGACATTATACTCGCGATTTATCAATCACAATAGACAACACACCAAATTGGTTATATTTTTCTACCTTGCCAACAGCGCGCATCGTCCTTGCCTGATGAATTGAAGGATGATATCTATCCAGCTGTAAGCGTAGTGCTTCGTACACCTGACTCATACGCCTTCTCGGGGTGCGCTAGCTCAGATCAGCCTGAGTTGTAGAAAAATGGTCAGTTACACATTCCATAATCCTTAAACTTTGCGATTGTGCTCTAGTCCTCTAAACCTCCGCTTTTTATGTGTTCGATCTGGAACTCTCTACCATCCTACGTCGTCTGTGCTCCAAGCATTGAGTCTTTCAAACTTAGGCTCGATGAAACACTAGCACATCTTACGTTCCAACATAAGTGAAGCTGCGTAAAGCAGTGGAAAACGCACGTATCACGTGGCATTTTACAAAAAGATTTGTATGTATCACTGTTTCCTAATCCACCGCACGAACCTATGGGACCAGAAAAGCATGAGCTTGTAAGTTATTCCCATAATAAATCTTTAAGTCGTGCTTGTGTTCTGGCACGTACGAAGAGAGCATGTTAGACTTTCTTTCATGTAACTGCGGTTTGCATCTGTGTCTCCGTTACTATTTACTTATTGCTGGAATTTCGGCAGTTCCTTTTTATATCATAGAGTATTGAATCCCATGCTTGTTCTACCTATTTTATCTCTTCCTCTTCGATAGGCACGCATTTTTTCCCCGACCCCACCCGGAGCCCGGAAAGTTGTTCTTGCCACAAACATCGCCGAGACCTCACTCACGATCGACGGAATTATTTATGTCATTGATACCGGATTTTGCAAACAAAAGTTTTATAGCGCTAGATCGGGTATCGAGTCCCTCATCGTGGTCCCAATATCGCAAGCTGCTGCAGACCAACGTGCTGGCCGGTATGATAATCGCCTCCGTTTCATTTTTGCTAAAGTGGTACATGTTTCCTCCTTTTTTGATCCATTTCGGCCCTCCTACTTTGACATAGTGGCGCTTTCGATCAGAGGTAGTTTTATTTGCTCCTGAAATTTAGTAACCGGGTAGTCTAACAGTTAGAGCAGCTATTTTGCCGGCTAGCTACAACGATGGAACCCGATTGGTTGTATGTATGTTAGACATGGATGGCAGCTCTGTCCTTACCTGACGATACTGTTGATTGTGTGACTCGTTTGAGCTAATGCGGTCGGCTATTGTTTGCCACGTGCTGTTTTCACTATCAATGCGTGCACTCCTTGTACAGTCAAATATTTTTCTGTCACTTTGTTACCGTTCTCATTAGTTAGTTGGAGGGAGCCTTTCTCATCAAGAAGTTTGAAGATGGATGCAGTTTTGACTGTCTCTTATGTGAAATTGTGGAGGGTATCAGAGAGCATTTGTCGGTCAGGAATTTGCCCGAGTCCATTAGTCTTCCTCGAGCATCTTGGGCCAAGTGTAGTCGGGTTGTCTGCACCAGTGCATGCACTCCTGAAGCCGCTTAACGAACGCGATAAACCAAACTTGGCAGTTGAGTTTTGTAAAATTCCTGTGATTTAAATATCGAGTGAACGAGATGCTCCATGGATAACGTTGCTGAACTCCCTCTCNNGTACCCCTGAACATAAACCTGATAGTGTTATAGACTTGACTCAGTCAATATCGCTAGATAAAGTTCATCGACCCACCGACCTGGTTCATCACCCCTATGTACAAATTGATTTGGTTTTAAATGACGTGACAAGTAGATTAGGGTTGATTTTTAAATCGTGTTATCTCTTATATTACCGATCTCAGAGGCATCTAAATTACGCATTTTTGAGTGATTTGTTTCTAAAACTCATTATCTTTGGTACCAGTCGATCAGTTACTGGTACAGATTTTTTGTTTTACTTCATTTTGAACGCCCGTAGTCCGATTATGATGTTGGTGAGAATCAACCGCTTGTCCTTCAGACTGAACCAAAATGTTTTTCGAACATTGACCGACTGTATCACCACGTTTTTACGAGTTTTAGTTAGTATCTTTCAAGCGTCAGCTTGATGATGCCCTGGCAAACGTTACATTTCAACACCCAACTAAATAACATATTCTCTTGTGCTCGTCAAAACATTACTTTACTACTTTACTTTCATGGACTAACTGTGATATTGTGAATCGTCATCCGAACCAAAGTGTAAACACCCTATGGGATTTGTAAAAGCGCAGTCTTTGTAAGTTATATCCCATAATAAAAATTTGAATTTGAGTTGAATTATTGACCGCCTTTTCTAGCCCCTAAAGAACATCAGCTCATTAACGCTTTAGTTTAGTCTCGACGCTTTCTAGTATTGAAAAAATAAATAAATAAAGGACCTATTAGGTGGAGTTAAACTGATTCTATTTTCGCATTCACTTTCACACCGCTCGCTTCGTGCACTGCGCCGTTCCTTTGCAGAGCCGGTCGGGTCGCAGCAGGCAAATGTTTCCGGTTGTACACAGCTCACGCATACCGGACCGAGTTAGAACCACAACCGGTACCAGAGATTCAGCGTACCAATCTGGGCAATGTTGTGCTCCTACTCAAGTCCTTAGGGATCGATGATCTGTTGCATTTCGACTACATGGATCCGCCGCCTCACGACTCACTGATCATGGCCCTGGAACAACTGTACGCCCTAGGTGCACTTAATCATCGCGGAGAATTAACTAAAATGGGTCGCCAAATGGCCGAATTCCCCTGTGACCCAATGCTCTCAAAAATGATACTGGCTTCAGATAAGTGAGTATGATTGATGCTTACTGTTGCTTTCTCTTTCGCCAACTTTCACTTCAATCCAATATAACCATCACTCCCCTGCTCCCATTTTGGTTGCCCCTCTCAATTACCCATATTACAGTACGATTTAGACAAGCAACAAATTCACCAAAAACTGAGAATTGTATTAGGATAAAGATACGGAGTGGAGGTGAACTAGTTACATGTAGAAAGTAAACAGATAAACAGGCATCGCCGTCGAAGACACTCAGTCATATCACAGATTGTCTTGAGTCATTTATTAATTTGACCCATAGGTCGGGAAAGTCCACTCCAGCCATTACCGTCAAACCCGTTGGTCCAGGTTTTCAAACCCTCACGCCCAACTATTCCCCGTTTATTTATTGTCAGGCAGTGCGTGAACAGATACGGTCCTTTCCTGGAAATTGGTTGTACAGTTACATTGAACAAAATGAAGTAGACATTTACCAAATCATTTTCTGGTTTCTCTTGTCCGTCTTTCGGCTTGCACCTGTCCCGGTAAGCACGATGAGTTAGTCTCTGTGGTGATATACGCAATACATGGTTCCAGCCATCACAATTTAAGGAAATCAAACATTTGATTAAGCGCATGAACACAGTTTAATATTACTGTCCGCCCAACCTTGGCCTTCATTGATCCGTAAACACTAATCCTCAAGCACGCATAGGTCGTATAGTGGATTCTGTCGAATGAAGAGTGAGTTGAAAAGTTAGGAAGTACAGCTGTTTCGACCTGATTTGGTCTTACCAGCAATGCGAATCTCTCTGAGGATCGAACTCGGGACCTCACAGGTAGAAATCCACTACATGATCGAATCAAATACTCTCCACTGCTGTCGTGTAACTTATAGGCTGTGCTTGTCACACGTAACGGCCATATCTCTGCACGCTGTATCAACATCGGTCGGACTGCTGCGCCCTAATTTTTTCAACATCTCAGCAAATCACCTTTTCCACGTCCAACTCCAACCACCGACCTCCCCAAATCAGAAGCCAACAAAATCAGTGCAAACGTATTCAATGGTGTACAACCGCGTTACACTTTAGGGGAAAACGTGTTCATATATTCGCAACTTGACCTTGGGTGTGTAGGGACGTAGTTCAAACAGCCCGTCAGGTCGCTCACGCATCTGCGTCACGCTACAAACACCCCCGCGACGCACCATGCAGGTTGAGTCCAGATTGGACGACTGCAGATGGAATCGGCCAGCGATTGACCGATCGATCAGTCGAAATGTCAAGGACGAAATCTACTTGATGCATCATCGTGCCGTTCTCGTATGCCTGATTTAGCCTATATACTTGCGTGTCGAATCTTAATTTTTGAATACACTGACTTTTGTTTTGAGTCGTGTTCTCTCCGCCTCTTGATGTTGTTGTTATTGTTGTTATCGTTGTTGTTGGGTTCATGAGCAAGAGACGCTTGTCTCAGACGTTCAAACCGAACACAACACGTTCTGAAAACATATGCGCGATAACCAATTTTGGAACGTTCCTGTGCAGACGTGACTAATAAGATCCAGCAAATTGGTAATTCACGTGACTGCTCCTGCATTCCAGCACATTCTCTGGACTCGTGTTTTCTTATTGATCGACATCAACTTCTGGTAGAAATGGACCGATTTTCAGGAAGATTTCTGCCTTCCTGATGCATTTAATCCTTCACAGGCAGCTGAATGTTACGAAAACACTGGTGTCTCAAGTCCACCAAAGGAATCCTCAGTGTGCTTACCGAATTTCGTGTTTTATGTCAGCACTTGATTGGTTTGCAGATTTAGTTATTAATTATTCCCTTTGATGATTAGAGACCGTCCTAGTTGTTTATATTCTAACCCAAGTGCTTCGTCGCTAACGCTCAAAGGATATTCAGTACCTTCGTGTTAGCAAGCATGTGTCTTCAAGGGTTTCGTTTTCAGTTTGCAAGTTTATTTGTGTACTTATGATGGAGAAGAGAGAATTTGTCTTTCATTAGATCGGAATGACAACTAGTAGGTCATATTGGACATAAATCGTACAGTATGGTCTTTTCTTTTGAAATTGATCTCGGGAAAGGTTTGCTGCAGTTTCCTCAAAACTCGTCTCCCGAAAACGACTATCCGGTCTGTCCTCGACCTAGTCAAGTTGAGGTGCAAGATTGCAGTGATTCGAGTCCGTATCGGTTTCCTCGAGCAATGTCTGGCATGCAACAGTTATCCTATTTCATTTTACAAACGTTTGACGTCCCATAATGTGTGCTTCTAGTAGAAATTTACACCGAATGACGTATCATATCGATAATGCTAAAGAAAGACTCTTAGCGTTACAAACCACTTTTACTGATCAACTGACCATTTTGGATGATTTGAACCTTTTCTACTGAATCAAGTATGCCAACTTCTGTGCTGATTCTGTCCGGAAAACAAGATTGTGTACGATAACAAAGCTCCAGAAATCTCTACTGTATAGACTAGCGGAAAATTCATTCCTGAAGCAACCGGAGAAATTAGTTAAAAATCTGTCATCGGTCGAACTGAATGAGCTCCAACTGCAAGCACTTTCGTGTGGCCTTCGCTTTTGTGTTGCACCTAAGAAAATCAACAGTATTGAATCATGGGCTCAGTTTGAATGTTTTTTCGAACAACTTAAAATACTTAACACAACTTCAAAAGATGCGGATTCGTGGATAAAAGCGAAACTGGTCAACTTGGAGCATCAATAGTGAATAACACCTTCGAAACAAAAATCACTTCTCACCCCTGAGCAATCATCCGCTTTACAGGAATTAAAGGAAAAGTCAGATTTGGTCATTTTACATCCTGACAAAGGATCTGGGGCTGTCCTGATGAACCGTGAAGATTACCAAAGAAAGATGGAGTGCATCCTCAGTGACCTTAGCAAGCTTTTACGGGAAAAGACGTGATGAACCAACACAGCTGAAGCGTAAAATCACCTCTGAAGTTCAGTTCTTACTGGAGGAACATTTCATTGATGAGAACACTGCCCGGGCTCTGAAGTATAGAGGAACTCAAATTCCACATTTTTATGGCCTGACAAAACTCCACAAGCCAGGCGTACCACTCAGGCCAATCCTGTCCATGACGAACTCACCACATCACCAAATGGTTGGTCAAGGTGTTAGAACCAGTCCACAGATCAATGGTGAAACATACCGTCAAGGACAGTTTCGAATTGATCGACGTTTTGGACAGGATAAACGTCGAAGGAAAACACGGCTTCGTTCGATGTCCAATCCCTGTTCACTAATGTACCAGTTCGTGAAGTCATAAAAATCATTTGCGATCATTTAGAGAATGATCAAATCCAAGTGGGTTTATCAGTGTCAGTCCTTGAGCGTGTATTACTACTCTGCACAACCAATGTGGCTTTCGTTTTTCAAGGAAATGCGTACAGGAAAATTGATGGTGTTGCTATGAGAAGCCCGCTAGGTCCATTCCTGGCCGACCTGTTTATGGCACCTCTCAAACACAAGGCAAATAACATTCTAGAACGTGCCATCCTTTACGAACGATACGTCGACGACACCCTTGTAATAACAGAAAGCCTAGAAGAAGCTACAGTAATTCTGGATGAACTTCATAGATTACATCCAAATATCCGCTTCACAATGGAATCCGAAGTCAACAACACACTGAATTTCCTTGACTTCAGCATGAGGCGAAGAGAAGATGGAACGATCGCCCGATCCGTTTACCGAAAGGAGACCTGGACACTTCGAGAGCTTTGTGCCTCTGGAGTAGAAACGTGGTCTTGTTCGGACGTTATTCGACNTTCGACAGAACGATGCGGATCTGCACGGAAGATAAAATTGAGCAAGCACTACAAAACCTTCGGGAGATGTTAGCAGAAAACGCTTACCCTGAAACGTTCGTCAATAAACATAGCAAACCAGAAATTGTAAAAGAAACGACTGCGTCAGCTCCGAAATTACGAGTCACGTTGTGTTTCCAGTTCAAGGGTGATGACGTAAGTTGTTTGCTCAAAAAAAAAC